TGAATAAATGAAATGCAGCCGCAAGTGGAAGTGGCAGTGATAGAAGGGAACGAGCTGTATGTGAAGGTGTTCTGCGAGCACAGATCTGGTGGGTTCGTGAAACTGATGGAAGCATTCTACGCTCTGGGGTTCGAAGTCATCCACGCCACAGTCACCAGCCACAAAGGCCTCGTCTCCAGTGTCTTCAAAGTAGAGGTAAACATCGTTACGTCCTATAACAAAGCTCCAACAAATTAAACTTATAAATTGAGTCCATCAAGATTTAAGTATTGGAATTAATTATGTTGGTGTGTTTTGGGGGGACAGAAGAAGGAGGAAGAAATGGTAAAAGCTGAAGAGGTAAGGGAGTCATTGATGGAGCTTATGAGGAACCCATGCAGAGGATGGAATCATGAGATGAGCACAAGTGGGGCATCAGAAAATAGAGTAGCAACGGACTATCATCAGCAAGAACAACAACAGCTTCACCTTCTCAACCACCACATGGCTGCTTATAACCCCCACCATTTACACCACATTCATACTTAGTCAATTTTTTTTACCTCTTCAAACTACCTCAAGTCTTAGGTTTCTTGTTCTTTTTTTTCAAAGAAAATGCTGTTTCCCCATGTAGGCTTAGTAAAATTAAGAGGGGAAATGTTGACTTTTATGCCTCTTGTGTTGGTTGCTAGAATGGAAGCATAACCTCTTAACCAGAGAGATTTTCTTGGAGGGAAAGCAAATGGAAGCTGGGAAACGTATTGTCTTGTGCTGTTGTAAAACTGAAAACGCAAATACCTAACTCTTTTTAGTTTTATTTTTTAATTCTATTTATAAGTCACTTTCAATATATTTCATACAAAAAAAAAATTTTAAATTTCATTAACTCTTATTTAAAATTTAATAACTTTTTTAACTTTATTCATATTTAATATTCATTATATCCCAACAAAATAAAGTAAACAAATAATAAATGAAGAGTAAAATTATATATTTATATGAAAAATTATTCTCTCTTTTTTATAAATAGGATCAGAGGAGTATTTGTTTCCTTTGTCCTTGCACAACAAACTCATTAGTAAAGCCAACCAACACCACTAATTGGATTCTAAGCAAGTATCCGCCAAATCCAATTGATTGGAATTGCTCCCACATAACTAACATGAATGAACAATCCAATGCATGGTATCAATTTTTGATGTAAAGATTTTAGCAGGTCATATTATTTTATAATCATGAACAATGCAGCTTAAAAATAAATAAACTTGATTGTGGGACAAGAACAAAGGTTAAGATAGGAAAAAAATATGACACGACAATCTTCTTTAATTTAGCATAAATTTTATACACACGCATATATGTGTATATAAAACCATACGTATGTGTATGTGTTAAAATAACATAAGTAGATAATCACAAAAGTCTAAAATTAATTAACTTTGCGGAGTGTGGTATATTAAATTATCAAAGAAATGTATCCATCAATTTAGAAAGCAAAATGCTGGTAAAAAAAAAATTTAGAAAGCAAAATGTCGCAGGATATTAAGATACGCCAATAAGAGATGATAGGTGCCTGTATCATAAGAATGGGAAATTAAAAAAAAAAAAACTTTGATGCCCATACATATAATAATCCCATTGAAATAGCATATTAAAAACGGTGCTCACAAAAATAAGCCCAACGATAAAAATACAATAACCTTGTTAGCAGACAATCTTTAAATATTTTTAGAAGCACTTTTTATAGTACTAGACCTAAGAAATGTGTTAATTAATCTTTGTCAAATAATAAATTTTTCTTCTTGTTTTATTTACCTGTTCAAGAAAATGATCTTGCAAATATAACAAAAATGACCAAAAACCTTATTTTACGTTTTTGGTCACGAATTTCTTCCCTCCAAACGAGCATTGACCTATATTTCGTCGTATTGCAGGATAAAGCCTTGATTCGCGAGGGGTTTCCCTTGTTCGTTTTGTCCAATGTGTTGAGCCCAAGATAATATCAGATCGCACTAGACTTCGGCCCACATATAAAGATTCTGAGAGCGGGCGAGCGAGCGAGCGTGCGAGCGTGCGAGCCTCTGATCGGCTTCCGCAGTGAGGTGAGACCGGAGAAAATGATCGTCTGTGTTGCCGTCGTTGGTCATCAGGTATGCCTCTATACTTCCTCGTCCTCAAATTTCACGCAGCATTCTTCACTTTTATTATAAGCTTTATTTTTTTTCTGCACAAGATCACAAATCTCGCTTGTTTTTCTTTTCCATCGATGAGCAGAACAACCCGCTGTATATTCAGAGCTTCACTGAAGCCGACGATGCTCTCAAGCTCCATCATATCGTCCACTGCTCCCTTGATGTGGTTGACGAGCGAGGTCCGTTAGTGAGGAATAATTTATATTTGGCTGATTATGCTTGATTTTACTGACCAGGCTTAGATTCGAGAATTTGGGTTTCTGGAAATTACTTGAGATGGGATACCTCATAAAGAGTCTGGCTATGAAGTTTCGTTCTTGATCCAATATAGGAATGGCTGGGATTTGTGGATCATCTGATTCGGAGATCTCGCCAATTTCTTTAAGCTTTATTGTTGTTGCCATGTGCACTTTCCTTTAAGCTTTGAGGTTTAGATCACACGTATGAGAATTACGATTCGGTAGTTGCTCTAAATTTGCATATCACTTTCCGTTGCTATGCCTTATGGCACTGAATGTGTTATCTTGCCAGTGAACAATCCCAAGAAGACTGGACCGATGCTGAATGAGGCGTTCCTGGGTCTGCTCTATCCTACTGATAACTATAGGGTGTGAGTGCATTTGTTGTCTATTCTATCTTGAATGGCCTCGAATCCACAAAACAATACAAATTTGTGGTTTTTCATAATTATTATTTCATTATGCAACCCGCAGCTATGGTTATCTGACTAATACAAAGGTGAAGTTTATCTTGGTCACAACAGATCTGGATGTCAGAGATGCAGATGTAAGAAATGTGAGTGCAAATAAAATTCGATGACTTTCTTTCTTTCCTAAGCTGCGATTCCACAGTAACTGTGTAGTATTCTTCATATTCTCGTTTTCTTGACATTGGAAAGGAATGTACTAGTGAGGTATGCCCTTAACTATGCTGTACTGAGTATGTAGACACCTCAGGTTTTTGTTACTCAAAAAAGTTGAGTGTTTCTTGGAATAAATCTTGATAGGCCTTTACTGGACTAAATGTTATACTTTGACCGCCACGTTTTCTATGGCTAAATTTTCTCACCTTACCCCTTCTCTCCTAAGAAAAGAAAGAAGAAACATGGAGGCCATTAGGATGGGACGAAATTGATGGGATAGAATCCTATCCCATGGACCAACCAAAGTACTGTGTTCTTAGGGTTGATTGTTGGATATCTTGTGCCTAATTTAATTTTGCTCCTCTATCTTATATATAACACCAATTAAATTTTACAGAATGGGCCACTTGTTATAGCGGAAAAGTAAAGTTTTTCTTTATCTGCTGTGTTGCCTGGCATGAGCAATAGACGATGACGTTATTTTTCAATTATTGCCGTTCAATTTGTATATTCAGATTTACCATGGTTTAATAACGAACACAGTTTATTAATAGGTAGTCATGTTTTAATTTGCTTTAGTTTAAGTGTAAGATTGAGCCATGAGTGCAATATTGGCTTGCATCAAATCAAAGTGCACGTGATTGAGTAATTCTTGATGGGACTTGTTGCTTGAATTTTCAAATATCAATGTTAGTTGCACAGATGTTTCATCTAGGCATGTGAACCTTTTGTGTTTCCCTGAGGTCATTTTCTTCAATAATGAAATGCTACTGTTATTTTACTCGTTAGTTATATGGAGATGCTTTTGATGATTCAATTGTAGGTTTTATTAATAATTTGAATCCAACCAATATACTTTGCTGCCGAATGTTGATGAACTAGTTAAGATTTGTTGAAAACTTTTGTTCTTTGTATTGGCTATTAATTATCAGTTTGTCTTCGCAGTTTTTCAGGAAATTCCATGCTGCATATGTAGATGCGGTTTCAAACCCATTCCATGTGCCAGATAAAAAGATCACCTCTAGAACTTTTGCAGAAAGGGTGAGCACAATTGTCAAGTCATTTGGATTAAGTTCCACCGGCTGAGCCTAGATAAATGTTGATGTTTCTCATACAACGCTCTTTCTTCTCCCCAAAAAAGGTGTCTTTTTGCCTCATAATTTCTGTTCCTTAGGAGTTACTCTCTGGTAAAATTGCTTATCAAATGTGGATGTCTGTGAACATTTGAAACAACACCCCTTGTATCAGCATTCAATATATAAATTCCAAATCTTCAAAACTCCACATGCAATTTGCCTAATGGATAATTTGAACAATCCCATTTATCTTCCATTTGGGGGGTCCTTCCAGATATGGATATCTTTCGTGCTCACCCCAAATTCAAATATTTGTTGTTTATCTTAAGGCTCTCAAGGGTATTCTAATTAAGTTAAAGTGAAGAGAATCACGACTTGGGAAAATAGAGTAATCGATTTGAGCTCACAGGAAACCTTGGAGCCCGATCGTACTCCAAAGGTTGTGTTTAACCTAAACAAACACTTGCTTTTTGTAGTACGTAACGAAGTTACTCGAACAACGAAACAAGCCGTCAAAATGACGTCAATTCATCGAGGAAGAACTGTGGGGACTAAAGCATGTTGAGGAGGATTGTTTTTAATAATCGTTGAGTCATAGGATATTTTTAACAGTAAGAAATTTGTTGAGGCAGACCAAAAAAGTAACAGTTTATGCGTGAGAGCAATGCGCACATTTTCTGCTGTGCTCTCATCAAGGCTTACCAAAAATCGTTGCCATGACTAAATTCTGCATACGGAAATTAGCTGATAAGATCATAGAGTGCGCACATAAATCAAGTCTCTGTAAATGATAAAGCTTCAAAAATCAGACGACAGATTTTATCGGGCAGCTAGTGGAAAACCCCTTTTCCAGGGTCAAATAAGGATGGAAAAGGAAGGCCTCCAAGGCTGTTCAGCTCCAAGCAAATGCGAAGAAATATAAATAAATAACCTTATTGTTTAAACAAAACAAATGAAGCTACTGGCCTCGTTGAACACTCACTGGACCTAAATATCATTTGCTTTTATCACTATTATATTTGCTATCCTATCTTGCTTGACTTTGATGAACTGTTGGGGATCATGATTCAGCTCACTACTGCAGAATCCCCAGCGTTAATGCATCATACCGAGACTACCACACATCTCTACTCAACACCCTGTCAAAGTTGCTGAGGAACTCGAGCTACAATGTTGAGCAGAATCATAAGAGAACCTTCTCTTTTCCCATGCATTCCTGTTCACGCATCAGGCGTATCAAGGCTTTTATTAGCACCAGAAATACCATAACCAGATCTTGGGGCGTTAGAAGCGCTAGAATGAGTTATTCCACCCTGCCCATATCGTCAAAAGGAGGCATTGGGTTTCTCGATCTGGATTGCTTGAATGCTTCTGTTTTAGCACAAGAACCGGGCATGGCCTGCCTGTTCTGATTAAAATCTGAGGGTGGTGACCTGAATGCACCTCTTGCTTCAGGTCCTCTGCTATTCAAAACAGAATTGTCCCGTGATATCGTTTGTTGGAAACTGATTCTTGGATCAGCTCTTTTGTACCTATTCTCTATCACAACTGAAGGCTGTTGTGCCGTAGATGGAAAATTATTCATACGAGAATCCGGTCGTTTGTGTCTGTTCTCAGTCACAGCAGGATGGTCTTGTGAGGTAGATGGGGAATTATTTCGTTTGTATCTATTCTCAGTCATCGTTGGCTGCTCTTGTGTGATAGACGGTTGATTATTTCGTCTGTACCTATTCTCAACCATAGCAGGAGGCTCTAAATTACGTTTTGATGGTGAGCCTTCTTTGTGTACAGCATTTGTTCCAGTATCAGCTGAGTTAGCCCTGTCCAGATCATGATTAAAATTAAATACTTTATTGAAATTATCATCGCAAACAAATATGGAACAAGCAATATTCTTTATAATTTTATCTGACCTGTCCATCACAAGTGACCCATGCTTATAACCATCAGAAAGCACTTCTTCCTCTGTCTCAAACCCTGATTCAGCAGGACTTTCATTCGGATCTTCATCAACGTCGCTAGCCTCTTGAGCCTCAACAGAGTTATTCATCGCATCTTGCAACTTTTTCCCACGGGCACCACCTTTCTTTGGTAGCCCAAATTTGATATGCCTGACAATCACATAAGCTTCTTTTTTCCCCACATGCGGTCCACTTTCCACGACAGACACATCTTCTAACTGAAAAGAACTGCTTAAGTATAGAATGGAATGATGGACAAAGATAGGAAAATAACATAAAAGAGACAACTTATAGACAAAATTTAGACAGGAAATCAAGGAATCAAGCAGGTGACAGTCATACCAAAGCAGAAAAGCGCGATAATATTCCTTCAATGTCCTGATCTCCAGCTCCTCCTAATGCCCTGCACTGCTTGCATAACCAAGAATGAGTGAAAGGCCACCAAACATATCAAAATATTTTATAATGCAATGAATGCATGCAAACATGTTGTTATGGCCAAAATTTTCTCAAGACATCTTTTCTTCTTTTCTTATCATGTATGCATGTTGCAGACCCAGAACATGATGTAAGCATGGATGCATCAGTTCATTTAATGAATTGCCATCATAAATTATATATAGATGACTACCATAATTTACATCAAATGACCTATGAGCGTTTAATGATTAGCAATTCAGATGCACGCACCAACCTCACTTCAGAAACATTCTAAAATCACTTCATAATTGCTCCACAGGTATTGTAGAAACACCATCTAAGAACAACCTACTCTTTTTTTTGGGCCAATATGAACACCCTAAACGAAAACCAATTAAATATCAAATGTAGAGGGTAGAAAAATTACCTTCACCCGGTAACCCTTCTCCATTAATTTTCTAACCATATCTGCTTTCATCTTCAGGTCTTTTAGTTCCTGAGGACATAAGATAAAAATGTCAAAACAGGAAATTTACTTCTCAAGTTCAGTAGGTAACAAAGAACGCAACATATAATGACACGGGAAAAAAAGATGTAGTGAGGGAAGAAAGGAATATAGAAATGAACTACTACTGCTTTGGCAGAAAAGCGTATTTCCTTGCCAGGCCCTTTTCTCAAACTCAACTCTGACTGCATGTGATAGATATCATATTAAAACAAAGTTGCGCATAGACACACAGGCACATATATACAAACACATATACATGTGGACTATCTTTTTAAATTAAAGAAAATATGCAAAGGCTCATTTTCCAGCCACTTGATAGTTGGCCTGTTCTGCTATAAAAGATTTTATTTGTCAACCATCACAGCTTTACAAATATTTGATGCACATAAATTATTCTATCAACTAATATGAAAAGGTTATAAACTTCATGGTCCATTTATTTTTTGCTCCACCCCATAAGGGCATATATTTAAGTCCTGCCAATGATCTCGTTGGCAAAAAATCTATAAGCACCTCTGTCCTCTATAACTGCTCTTTGACCAATTAGGCCTACCTTAACCCTGATGAAATCTCAAAAACCCACTCACTTGTTCCTTTTTTTGTCCAAAATAAAAAAACTAACAAAATAGTAAGATAAAATACATTGAAATATTAACTAATTTCCTCCTATGCTTATTCAAAATCCTATATTCTATCTTTATCTATAATTTCTACTGGCAAACAACAGCAAAACTGAACCTTGCTTTTAGCCCGCTCCTTTTCCCTTTCTTGTTGTTTGTACTTTTCCTTGTGGTAGTCCATAATTTTGCAGACAGGCGGTTTTCCATTTTTCTGAACCTGTACAACATTATCAAAATTATAGAGGCCCGGGTGACTATGAGAACAGATCTAATACTTATAATTTACAAATGCCAGTAGAACCATTCTATGTGCTGAATCTAAAACAAAAATTATTTGCGGGCATAGGGGTGAGGTGGCCACTATATGACCCAAACATAAGAGATACTTCTTTTTATTGAAAGAAAATAAAGCTTCTTATTTTTTGTTGCAAGTGACAATTTTTCGCCATATGAAATTAGACAAAGTCTCTCTACCCCGTCTTAAGATTGAAGATTCACAGTCTACGCATCATATACAAACCTTTAAAAGTCCCACAAATATCAACAAATCCTTCAGCAAGCTATAATATTTTATTCATTAATTATTTCAACTGAGCACTTCTGTTTAAATGTTGGAATTCTCAGATAACATGGCAAAAGACCTGAAAAAACTTTACCTCCACCAAATCAAGCTTGAGCCGCCTAGCGCGTTGTAATGCTTCAAGCCTGGAAACTATTGAATGTCCTGCATGAATATATAAATTAATGGGAAATTCAGAGTTCAAACAAAACCAACTTACACGTATACAAGCTCCCAAATATGCAAGTACTGATCTTTCCATTGAAGCTAGTACAATGCGGCATATGTCTATACTGTGTTCCATACATTTATCATTTATTATATGCAAAAGACTACAAATCTCCATAAATCCTTTGGCAGTCTTATTCAACTTCCTAAGCATGCTCCATAACATATTTTCGTTAATCCTAGTCACATTTGTTTAATAGGAAGTAAGAGAAAACAACTGTTTTGTAACGCAAATATGGCTGGTAACTTCATGGTCTAGCAAATTTTTAGAACAACAACCCACAGTTTTAGGACACTAGCCCTTTCAATATAAGATGACTGATCTAAGTACATGGGTGCACTTGCATTCCCTTCCTCCAAATCAGTAATTAAAAGCCAATACAACCTTCCCCTGATAAGTTGATATTTGATTACCAATTGAATTGTAATCATTCTTACTGAAGGTATTAATTATTAGACTGAAAAGAGCCATGCCATGCCCACAACCACGACAACAACATTTTTTTTTTTAAAAAAAAAAACAGTTTACATTAGCGAATATCAGGAGTATATTTACCATCATCATCTACTACAAGCCTGATAAACTGCGCAGTAATTTCTTCATTTATTCGCGGCTCACTGTTGTCCATCTTCGTCTTCGACTGAAAACCAAGAATGCACCATCAACCCATAACATCACGGAGAACCATCGAAACCATACATGGTCATCAAAACATCATGCAATGTTATACACAACCTGAAAATCCGTTGCACTGCCTTACTGGATAAAGAACACATAACCAATTCCGCTAGAACAAACAAATGCATGCCTCAACATTGAAAATTTTACGCTAAGATACCATCACTCATCATACTTCACAACAAACACACCACCCCACTTTTAGTCACCATGAAAGCAAAAGTTTAACATTTTCACAACCACTAAAGTTAAAACTTACCTGAGCAGGGGCAGCGAAAACCTTGCGTTATTATAAACATCAGTGGATCTACTTCGAAAAATCCAGCTTGGTCTCTCAGAAACGTGGGTATTCCGATGCGTGATGGAATTCAATAAAGATGCGCTGGGGAGTTGAATGTAACATCTTCGAAATTGGGTGGACAAGATTTTCAACTTAGATTGCCCGATTCGGCACCAATACGCCATTACTTATGTGCAGTAAAAGAGACCTGGAAACTAATAAACCATTATTATGACACTATTCGTTTGGCAGAGAGGTCGATCCTTTAGCCCAGAGGAAAGTTAGTTTTTCAAACAGCAACTCAGAGCGGCTTTAACAGTTACATACAGCCTTACCAGCTACCCTTGCGCCCGAACTGGAAATTGCTCCCGCGCGCAGGGAAGGGACGAGGAGCGGGGTTACGCGGCCTAGAACCAACGGGGCAAAAGTCATGGAAGCTAGAAAGCGGAAACCGGTGGCAAGGCCATGCTTTACACTCGAAGTTAAATGGCCCTGAGTCGAGGTGGGCCTACAATTAATAGTCCAGAAGTCAGGCCCAAGATTCGGTTTAAAATTCTTTTGTTCGCATATCCCGATCTTTTAATTGATATCTTATCATCATAATCCAAAGATGATAAGAGCCTAATATGCCATGTTCGAATCCCGAAGGAAAAGTGTTCACATTTAGTGTCTGATAGTGTCTCGAATAAGATTATCTCTAATAAAAAGA